ATCTATCATCCATCCATCCATCCATCCATCCATCCATCCATCCATCCATCCATCATCCATCCATCCATCCATCCATCCATCCATCCATCCATCCATCCATCTCTGATGTTTTTGAATCTCACAATGATTGCATATTTAGGGAAAATAAAATTATTTAATTAGATAACATTCATTTCCTGACTTATATTTCTATTTTATTCCTATCTAACAAAGCTCCCATATCCCTGATAATAAAAAAAATAAAAAAAGTTTTTTGGTACACATTTTTATTTATAGTAGGGACAGACGGGTTAAAAAATGAACCAATAGAGAGGGCATCTCATGATGGTGTAAGAAAAATACATTTTTCCTGTTCATTAATATGAATTTTTTTTCTAATTGGGATTTAAACTTATTACTGCTAACTGTTTTCTCAGAAGCAGAGCAGGAGGGGATGAATGTAAACCTGTGCCAAAAATATGGGAGCTGATGTGAGAATGGTTTCCAATTGTCAGAGGAAGACAGAGAATGTTCATAAACTCCATGGAGAAAGATCCAAGGCCGGGATTTAAACCCAGAACCTTGTTGCTGCAAGGCACCAGCTCTAGCCACGGTTTCCCCTTGATTTATCATGGCTCATCAAAAAAACAGATTTAAAAAATCCTATACAAATTTGAATGGTGAAAAATGTTTCCCACTAAATGTAGCTGATTTCCCTGACTTTATTTTTCAACATATAAAACTGCAATGTTTCTTTTCTTCTCAATTTCCTGAGGGACATTTAAATACTCACACGCCAAGTTGACTTTGGCCTTGCGGCTCACCAGCATGCCGTAGCGATTCTGAGCAGCGCAGTCATACTCGCCCATGTCTGCATCACTCCCATCTCTGCGCTTCTGGAATCTCTGGATTAACAGCGTCCCATTTTCCAGAACTTGGACCCGAGGGCTGGAGGGTAAAGGTAACCCATTTTTACGCCACGTGATTGTAATCGGCTGTTCACCCTGCACCTGGCAATGCAGCATGAGAGGACGATCCCTTACAGCAATCACATCACTGGGCTCCAATATGAAAGACAATTCTGAGGCCAAACAGCAACCTGCAGTAAAAAGATAGAGAGGGAAAGGTTGGTATTAAGTCATGGAAGCTTTATCATTTCTAATATGAATACTCATACTATTTCTAATACTAGTAGTTCTTAGAATTTCTAAAAGTAGAATGGGAGGCAGATCTTTTAGTTATCAGGCTCCTCTCCTGTGGAACCAACTACCAGTTTTAGTCC